GCGCCCCAGGCCGGCGGCAGCCTCCCTCTCCGGCTTTGCGTCTCTGAGGTTCTCTGGGCCTCCTCAGCCCTCTGGGTGTGCGCCGTCTGTGTCCCTCTCTTGCTCCCGCTGTTGGGGTCTTTTCCTCCTTCACCTCTGCCTCGCCCCTCCCTGTCACCTCCCCTAGAGCCCCGCGCTCCCCTCGCTGGGTCTCTCTGGCATCTTTCTGCATCTCAGCCTGTCTCTGTCGCTTCCCCAACTGTGGCTTTCCCTCAGTGTTGGGGTTAGCCTCTTCATGTCCCTCTGCGGTGGCCCCGCTTTCCTGCCCTGTCTCTACCTTGCCATCTGGCTCTGTCTTGGTCCCTCTTTCTCTCCATGTCCCTGTAGCTCTGTCTCCCTCGGATTCTCTGTATCTCATCACTTGCTCTGTCTCTCACCATCCCTGTGACTCATTCTCTTTCCCTTTCTCAGTAACTGTGTCTCTGTGCCTCTTTGTCATTGCCCTTGGGTCTGCCTGTCATCCCCAAGTTTGGGCCACAGACTTTCCAAATCCCCTATCTGTGAGTCCCCTGGTGGGAAAAGGTGGCCACGGTCTGGTCTGTATTCAGTACCAGCCCCACAAGGTAGTCCCCTGTGTTTCCAGGGCTTAAATATGCATCATAATATGGGAGCCACACACCCCCACTGTCCCCCACTAGCTTAGGGACATGGCCTGGGGTGAGATCCTGGAGGGAGGCCAACCAGTCCTTATATAGGTCTCAAGAGACTTCCTATTTCTCCCAGGAGACTAGCCAAGACTGACTACCTGGTTCCAGGTGTGGGGAGTGGGCAGGATATGGCTTGGCCCGGACTCCTGGGTCTGAGGGAAGGAGTGGGGGATGGTCCCTATGAGATCCATGACTTCTGCCAAGGTCTGCAGTTGGGAAGGATTTATTATCACTAAGTGGCCCTGACAGTTCAGGGAGGAGGGGGTGACATTAACGAGGCTGCTACAATCAGCTTCCCTAGAGGCAGCGATTAAGGGCTCATTACCCGCTGGGGAGGGAGCCTGGGAAAGGCAGTAGGGGGAGGGTGGGGTTAGGGTGTGTGTGGGGTGGGGTGAGCGGTCTAGAGGGAAGAGGATGGGAAACCTGGAAGGAGTGCAAAGAGGCCTGGAGGGGAAGAAAGTGAGGAAACCCCAAGACGGGAGATGACTGAGAAAGCTCCCAGGGCTGGCTGAAGAGAGTGAACGTCCAAGAGTGAGGGGGTGGGGGGCGTCATGGCTTCTCCAGCTGGACGTCTCCCCCGATGTGGAGGCTGCCCACATCCTGGTAGGTGCCCTGAAGGCCCCGAGAGATGTCCTCATACATGGAGCAGTCGTCGAGGTTCAGGCCCTGGAGTGGACATGGGACAACAGGCCTCAGCACCCCTATACTTAGGGTCACTGCCCCCAGCCAACCCCAGGGAGGAAGCCTGGGCAGACCCTCCCAACACACCTGCCCTCAGCCTGTCCCCACCGTCCACTCACTTCATAAAGATTTTCATCTTCATAGTCATCCTGGGCATCCAACCCGAACTTCTCGTTCTGCCATCGTTTCTGTGGGGGGAGCATGGGGTGAGAGCCTCAGTGAATAGGGGGAGGTGAATGTCTTTCAGACCCACCTGGATGCCAGGAGTTGCTTTTCCAGAAAACATAAGAGATGTGTCTGAGGCCACCTATCGGTACGTGGGTGGTCTCTCTGGGTCCAGCGCTAGTGTCCTTTTCACTGTCTCCACTACCTTGTTTTTCTTCATGAATAACAGCAGTCATAGTAAGCAGTAAATAGTAAAAATAGCTCTGTGGCCTAAGGAGAGGCTGGTGATGGTCAGAGACTCTGGGAGGACCCCCTGCCCCTACCTTCCCTGGTCTTGGCTACTTCTGGAGCATAACCGCACTCCTGGGTGGGGGCAGGAGGAGAGTGGACACCCTGGTGCAGGGAGAATGAGAACATCTCTAGAGAGGGGCAGTGGGGACACCTTTGGGGGGAAGAATGAGACCTCTTGGGAGGGAGTGGACGGTAAGGACAACGCTGAAGGGGGAACGAAATGACGATGCCTTGTGGGCCCATCACCAACTAACATCCTTTTATCGTATCTATCCCTTTAGCCTCCATAGTATCTGTGAGGTAGGCGCTCTCATTCTCCCAAGTTTTGAATGGGGAACCTCAGACTCCAGAGGGAGCCAAGCAGCCCAGGTCCTCGCCTGGCTGGCTCGCGGGTCCCCAGGTGGCTCACCCTGAATAGCAGCAGCGTCCCTGGCACCACGGCGCAGAACAGGAGGATGATGCCCTCGGCTGTGATGATGCGGTTCTTGGTGCCCTCTCCCATGTCCAGGAAGGGTCTGGGGGGTGGCTCTGTGAGGAGAGGGTGTTGCTTAGAACCCTGGAGCCTCCTGCCCTCCCTAGCATCTGGGTTCTGCACCCCCCAGCAAGTCCTGAGACCCCTGAAGTCCCCACTCTGCAGATGAGAATATCTGTCACTCTGTCCTAGCCTGTTTCAAGCCCACAATGAAGGTACTGGCTCTCTCTCCACTTTTTTTTTTTTTTTT